GGCGGGCGGCACCGCCGCCGCCATCGCCGCCACCGCAGCCGCAGCCCTGAGGAGGGCGAGCGCGGGGCGGGCGCCCGCCCTTCCTCCTCCCGCCGACACCGCCACCACTCCCACAACAGGAAGCGGGAGGCCACCGTGACGACGGTGAAGTCGACGGAGGGGAGAGGGGCCTCTGCGCCCTCGGCGGAGACAGGGGCTGGCGGGGGGCCTCCGCGCTTTCCCGATGTTCTTCAATTTAAGCCAGGGCCGAGGCTGGACGGGGAGGGGCGTAGGACGTCGCGGAGCCCCACCCCGGAGGCTGCCGCCGCGACGTGGCAGCCAGTGAATCCCAATCGAGACCACAACGGCCGTAATGAAGGGAAAAATCCGCAGGAGATGGAGTTGGATGAGCTGATGAAATTATAGATCCCTACAGCGTGTCGCGATTGGAACGCCAATCGCGAACACCAAGGATGAATATCTTATTGTATTTTTTTTTTTTTTTTAGACCAAGGACCCATAGTCAGGAGAGAGAAAGGCTTATTCATGTTTCCGATATTTTTCGATTGTTGTCCTTTGAAGTCTGCGCCATTCCCCGTCGATAAGTGAACAACCTTCCCAGGGAGGTGTATTTTTGCTAGCAGTTAAAGCATAGAGAAGCTACATATAGATTCTTCGTTTGGATTGAATACTATACTCCTATATCTCCAATGTTGCATCGTTTTATTCTTATTTTTCTTTTACGCTATTTAGAGATTATTTTATTTGTATTCATTCCATGTAATTCCTTTCATGAATGTCAAAGGCGAGAAACTGATTTGATTTTTTTAGATTTATTGTTCTCCATCCTATGAGCCGTGTGTATTCTGTGAATGTATTCTAAGAGCAATGTTGGAGTCTCACCTGCTGGTTAATTTCCTTATGTGAGGTTGCGAATTTTTTTTTGAACCACTTGGAAGTTAGCAAACTCTAAGAGCGTTTTCATTTCAATGATCATTGAAAATAGAAGTACATACTGTTGCCGTGTTATTTTCTTTCACTTTATTTCTGAAGGAGTCCTTTATAGCTATTCCCTACGTGAATGGTATGATCATTTACTATTTTCACTCATTTAGGAAATGTGCTTGAGACTTGACGATGCTTTGCGTGGACTTACTCGATTTGAGCATTTAGGTAGTTCTCATAACAAATATAACTTAGTTTATTTTAACTCAGATGCGGTGTGCTTTACCTCATGCTCAAGAATGTCTCTGGTGTTGCCCTCCGATACCATAGTCTTGTCTACATGGCAACAACTTTAGGTAGACAAGTAGCGACTGTGCTAACTCTCTTACTTTCTACCCTTTTGAACTCTTTTAAATTCTAAACAAAACTTAGGTGTGATGAAGCTTAAATATTTTACCCGAAGTGATGGTAGTGGGAATGGGGGCCTCGATACGGCTTTTCAAGAAGTTGCCCAACAGGTGCTGGCAGAGGTACCGCCGGAGCTTCGTCAGCACCCATCAGCTGCGCCTTCTCCGATTCTTCAGTCTCTTCTTCGCCTTGAATGGGATCAGAAAGGGGCTCACATCATGAAAGACGAGGTTCCTACAACAAACCCTGGTAAAGTGGCGCCTGGTGTGTCTGCTGCTCAAGGTGTAGATCATCAACGAGGTGGGGAGATCCCATCCGGATCTAATTCATCCTTGTTAGGGCGTCAACTTCTGAAACGTGGTGTGGCGCCCAAAGACCCATTGATAAAGCGCCTTGCGGCGTACAAAAGTAAAGTCTCTGCGAATGCTAATCTTAACGACGGCAATTCATCGGTCTTAAGCGAAACCAATGCGGTCTCGCACTCCGGTTTCAGTTCTGCTCCGTCGGGAAGCGGCGTGGCCGAGCACTGGACGCGACGTCGTCTCTCCGAAATGACCCCGTCTAGTTGGGCTATTTTCCGTGAACAGCTCGGTATTGATATTACGCCCGTAAATGTGCGGGATCCGTCTAGGCATGAGGAGGATTCATCGCGGGGGGTGTCCTCACCCGCCACTCGTGTCGTGTATACGGTCGATACCGTGAGTCCAATTCGGTGTTGGCATGAGGCTCAGCTCCCTTTCGCGTTGGGATGCTGTGTGGGCGCCTTTTACGCTTTCCCAACAGCAATCCAGTCCCAGTGCATCCCACTGGCAATGACTGAGCTTCCCTCTGCTATTCCTTCTGAACGGCAAGCCGACCACTGCACGTCTCCAAATCTCGAGATTTTGAATAAAATTGATATCATCGGTGTGGCGGAAACGGGTAGTGGTAAAACGCTTTCCTACTTGATTCCAGCGCTGGCCGATATCTGCACTCGACGCCCGAAACTACTTGGGAATCATGAGCGGATTACTCTTGGGCCTATGGCATTGATAATGGTGCCAACACGTGAGCTTGCGGAGCAGGTCATGCGGGAGGCCCTGGCACTGCTCAATCCTGACACGTCTAAGATGCACTTTCCGATAAAGGTGGCTGGCTCAGGCAAGAGTTCCAGCCTTGGCCACCCCTCCACAGGAAGGAGGCTAATTGAGGAATGGGAGGAATATGAGTTATCTGACCTGCCCAATGACGCTAGCCGCGCGGCTTATCGCAGAGAACACAACATGCTCAGTGAAATACGCGTCGTTAAAGTTGTCGGCGGCGAGAAAGTAGAGGAGCAGTTTGAAAAGCTTTCAAGGGGTGCTCATATGGTGGTTGGGACCATCGGTCAGCTTGCTGCGCTATTGGAAGACCGTTTTTTGTCTTTAGGAAACACACAGCTCGTCGTCGTGGACGAGGCCGATCGCATGATCGACGAACGGCAGGAGGATATTCTTGTTAGTGTCCTTGAGCGATGCCCACGGCCACGCCAAACCCTTCTTTTCACAGCCACTATGAGCCGAGCGTGTGAAGAGATTGCGCGCAAATACCTTTCACCCAAGGGATTTTTCGTTGTACGCACTCTGCATCGGTGTGCGTCGATTCGGCAGAGTTTTGAATTGATTCCTTTGATGGACAATTCCGTACGCGAGGTGAATACGGGCAAAAAGGCCTTTTTGCGTGGTTTTACTTCTAAAAAACAAAAGAATCCCGCGAACGAAGCAGCACAGCGCCTATTAGATCCTCTTATCTATCCTTTGAAATTTAACCGCTTAGTCACGTGGCTTGTTTACGCAACCGGACCGATCATCATATTCGCGGGAGAAAAGCGCGTGTGCGATGCCCTGCAGGATGAGCTCCGACGTGAGGCCGGGCATCTCGCGCAGATCCTCGATGAGCGTGGATTGCCACCCGCCGGGAGGGGCCTCATGGACGTCCCGAGCGTGGATGCACCGCCGCAGGGGCTGGTGTTTCAGGAGGATACGGGGCTGAGCTTGTACGCCGCACAGCAGCGTCGTGTGGCTGCTGAGAAGACGCTGGCGTCGACTTTTTCGTCGTCGCTGAAGCTGGAAAATCTCACATCGACCGCCGTCGTGCACTCAGAGCTCTCGCAGAACGAGCGTCGCCGTCTGACAGAGCTCTTCCATCGTCAGGAGCGCAAGGTGCTGATCACCACTGATTTGCTTTCCCGCGGCCTGGACGTGCCGGGGGTGGCGCTGGTAATTAACTACGACTTGCCGTGGCCATCTGAGAAGGCGTCACCGGGCAGCAAAGGCAACCCCCACAGAGGCTGCAAGGAGACGCCGGACGAGGCCTTTGTACAATATATCCATCGCATCGGGCGAACAGGGCGCGCCGGGGCAACAGGCATTGCTCTGAGTTTTGTTTCTTTACCGTTAGCACGCATCCAAAAGGCCTCATCAGCCGTTGTAGTAACAGCCTCCTCAAATGCCTCCTCACTGCATCTTCAGGAGCCGTCGGAAGGCAGGAAGGGTGATGAGCTATCACGGCGGATATACCCACCAGGAACCACAGATGCTGTCAAACAACGTGATCGGGATCAGTTTGAACTCACTCACCACCATGATGATAATTACGGAGATACGACCTTTGGCAATGGTGAAGTTGATGGCGCATTAAACGACGCAGATAATGATGATGACTCAGACAGGGGAAGTAGCGTCGCTAGTGATGATTCAGGGCGGCCTCGAAAGCACCTTCGAGGCGAAGAGGGAACTTCTACGATATTGGAAGGTACCAAGAGAAGGGAAAGTATCACCCCTTACAGTGATGAGAGCCTTTTGAAGCCACTTTGGAAATTCCTTCTACATTGTATTGAAGGGAACGGGTACTCAAGAGATGAGGCTGTGCGGGCTTTGCGACAACAGACATACAGCAAAATTGATCTACCACCTGCGTTGGCATTCATTATGTATGAATTAGCTATGAAAAAGGGGAAGTATGGCACCATTACTCAATAAGAAATATCTATACATACTAAGGGTGTCTTATACTGGAAAAGCAGTCCATATGATACTAGTTGTGTAATCGAGATGAAAATGGCGAGGCCAACGGAGGTTTATTCGACAAGAAACCTCGATCATAGGAGGAGGGAGGAGGAAATGATCTACCATTTCTTTTTTTGGATTCTCCGTTAAACTTCTCTGGCTGAAATATGCCGTTAATACTATTATTACTATTATCATTGTCTCTCCGATAGTTGTACTTGCAAGCTTTTTCAATTTAATTTCCTTGCAACCGTTTTATTGGCAACGTGTGTCTTCGTAGTAGGAGATCGAGGTGAGGTGTCATTAGGACAGTATCGTTCATTTTATAAAGTAGGTTATCTAAGGTAAGTCATACACGCACAAACATACCGACGCAAATACTCATAAGAATGAAGCATGTTGAAAATTTAGAGGAGCGTGTTGAGCGTCTTCTTCAGCGAATTTCGAAGCACACTGAGTCTCGTGATAGCCTTCTGCGCGAGGTCACTAACCTTGTTCATGAACGAGACAGTCTCGAGCCTAGTCTGCGTGAGATCAACGAGGTCCGCTACCAGAAGCTTCCATTCTGTGTTCAACACAGCGCATCTCTGGCCCGAAGTGTTGAGAGCAGCGCTAAATTCGCAGGGCGTAGTTCGTTTGTTGTGAAGCGGTTGGACAAGCTCTTGTCGCGGGTAAAGGAGACGAAACACGTTGCAGAATTGGTTATGCAAATGAACCGCAATGCTGAGTTGGTTCCAAAAGCGATGGAGAGCGAAGATTTCAACACAATTGTGGAACTGATCAATTCATATGAGGAGGCTCGTAGTCTCTTGCTTCACAGTCGCCAAAAAGATACGCATACAAAGGAGAGCAACGAAAGCGAAAAAGAGGAAATCAGTAAAGACGAATTAAGTGATGGTGTTCATAGGTGCTTGACGCTTAGTCCGCTCATTCAAAACGCCCGACAGACGACTCGTCAAAAGCTTCTCCACATCATCGAAGAGGCTGCACTGTTGAACAATAAACCAAAGATTATGGAATGTGTTTGTCATCTCAAGAAGCTCAACTTCTCGAATGAGGGTCTCAAATTTTACTGTAGATGGATCTGCGATCACACCATTACTTCACTCAAGAAAATGGTTGATCTGGAGTTGAGGAAGATGGACGACCCTTCTGAGGCGGCCATGAGTCACCTCACACTGGTCTCTCAAGTTTTGGATACCGTCGCCGCGACCTTTGAGGCTGAGGAGAAGTTTACTCGAGAAACCTTCGGCGACGAAGGACCTATTTTATTACTCTCTGAGCTGCACAACCGATCCACGGCGCAGTGCGTACCGGTTATGCGGGATTTTGTGGAGCGGCGTCGACATATCTTGTCGCTGATGGAGCACATGTCGGAGAGTTCATCTCCAGCTTCTTTGCGATCCCGCGACCAGAAATACGTGAATCGTGAGGATAAGGATGACAGTTCCATGAGTAGTGGCGACAGCGATGATGATCGGGAGGCGAGTGATCTTAGAGGCGTGAAGACGAAACTCGCCTCAGGCTATGCGGCCATCCCATCGGATGCGCGTCAGGTGGATCAGATGCTGGAGGAAACCAGTCATCTGGTGTCGTGCTGTCAAATTTACCTGTCATTTGTGGAAGGAAAGCAGAATAGCATTAGCGCTACCGAGAAGGAAAAGGTGAACGAGAACACCAGATCGTCATCGACTGCGGCGGGCCATCTCTTGGCGGCGAAGGATAATGCGTTGCTCAATACGATGCATGACATCCTTTCTCTGTATGTACCTCTCCAGACGTACTACTTTAATGTTGCCTTTGATCAGGCGATGCAGCTGCAGGCGTCGGCTATCAAGGAAACGGTCAAGCGAGTTGGCCATGACCTTTCCTCGAATCACACGGGTGGCAGCGCGGGTGGGGATGGGGGTGCGAATTCCATGTTTTACGGCTCCCCCACCTCCATCATGGCGGGTCTTTCCAGCATCTACAACTCGGCCGCGCGGTTTGGCGACCACCCGGACCGACGCACGAAGCGGCGAAACCAGGAGGACCTCTACTTCCTCCACGGCGGGAACATCTCCTTGGTTGACGACGTCTTCTTCTTCCTCCGGATCGCGATCCACCGCTCGTGGAATACGAACTCCACGCAGATCGTCTCCGCCGTCGTGATCTCCGCGACGGGGGTGATTCAGGGCCGGCTGCTGCCGGCGATCCGACGCCATGCGGGGCTGCCAGAGGCGCAGCTTCGCGCCCTCGGGCCCCTGCCTGGGGGGGGACAGCGCAACGACGGAGGAGGGGGGGGGCTTTCCG